TCAGAGAGTTATGTGTGAGGAGAGTGATGAGGACATGGAGGACACTGAACGGGAGAAGGTGAAAGTGGAGGAAGAAGTAGAAGATGAAATTATCGAATCGGATATTGAACTCGAGGGGGAGATTGTGGAGCGTGATAATGATCCTCCGCAGAAGGTGTTGTTTGGTACTTAAAATTCTTTTATGTTATTGTGATTTTTTTTTTCCGAGGTTTGGGAAATATATTTAATCTGTGAAATCGCTCAAATCTGCAGATGGGAGATCGCTCAGTGGAGGTCTCGGATGAGAATCGCGAGGCTTCTCAGTTGGCCAAATCCCGAGCCAATGAAGCCATTGCTGAAGGTATAAGTAGTTCTATATGAGTATCTTAATAAAATTATAAACGTGTAGGTGTATACATATTATGTATAGTAGTTATATAAATAATCATTTTTCTGCCATATATCCCTGTTAATAATTGGGAATATAATGCAGGAAAGTTGGAGGAAGCAATTGAGCATATGACAGAGGCGATTTTGCTGAATCCGACATCGGCAATTATGTATGCTGCTAGAGGTGAAATTTGTTTATTTTCTTTTATGTTGTTAGGTAGTTTTTCTTCTTTAGATCTGCTTGCTAGATTTTGTGGTTTGATTATTAATACATTTGGTTGCGGTATTTCTTCAGCTAGTATTTACATCAAAATGAAGAAGCCCAATGCTGCTATTCGAGATGCCAATGCAGCTTTAGAGGTTTGTTTTCTTTTTGGTTCCTTGAAATAAAGATGAACTTGTCTTTCATGTTTGCATGTGTATATGCATATGTGCTGGATTAGGACTTAGTTCATGTTTGCATGTGTATATGCATGTGCTGGATTAGGACTTAGTTCTTGTCTAGTAAGCATATTTCTATGCATGCATAAGAAGGTGCATGGTGAATCTAATACATGGTGTGCAATGGCTTGAATAAGTATAAATGTTAGTGTATGTGAATTATGTGAATGTCGATTCCATGTAGAAGAATATGCTTTATGTACCTGACTTCAATGGCATAAGCTGAGCAACACTTTGGTTTTCGTGTGTCCCACATGCCAATGCAATTTTTCTTCTCCACGTATGCCATTTTCGGGCTGATGCTTGGAACAATATAAAAAATATATATAATATACATATAGTTTTTTCATGTAACATTTATGTTCTATGGTTATTTACAAACTCTAACATTATACCTTAGCAGGAAACTTTATGTTTTATTGCATGCTATTCTCTAATTAAAATAGATTTCTATAATGCAAAGGTAAAGTGTCATTTTCCATAATGCATTTCAGATTAACCCCGATTCTGCTAAGGGCTACAAATCTCGTGGGATGGCAAGGGCAATGCTTGGTAGGTGGGAAGAGGCGGCAAAGGATCTACACCTGGCATCAAAGCTAGACTATGATGAAGAAATAAGCACTGTACTTAAGAAGGTTTCTTTCACGGCTATTCAAATGTTATAGCCAATATGATCATACTTATCATCTTTATATATGTTCTTTGTGGTTCCATGTTGGCTTGTTCATATTATTGGTGTTTAGAGATTTCATTGAAGTCAAAATAAACTTAATGAGTTAGAAAAGTTATTGCAACTGATTTAAGAGTGGAGCTATATGGAACTGGATACATAATATCTTTGTTAGGAACACTTGGAAATGGACATGTTTCAATAGAGGTGTGCTTTTTATTATGCCAATGCTGGCCCAAAAAATAAATGTACGTATTTTTTTGTGTGTGTGTGTATCTGCCATCCCATGGAGTGGCTACAATGTAA